AACAATATTTTCTAAAGATTCCACCTGTTTCTGAACACTCCCACTTTATGACATGGTTTTGTATTTGGAAGTCAACTGAAGATGAAAAAAAATTGAGAATGTTTCTCTCAGGTTAGCTTTGTTATGCTTTATGTTCAACAAATCTTGTCTTGAAAGTTGACAAATCAAGATGTTTAAAGAAATACATATTTTAGCCCAAGGAGAATGTATTTTTTGTGTTTCGGAAATGACTGATGTGGGCTTACTCATATACAGCTTAGTCTCTTGGAAAGTTCCATGACATGCTACTTGGCTTTTGACTGTTATATCTATGAAGATTTGCCTAACATTGCTGTGATGGCATAATTTATTATACTTAATACTTAATTTCTCAAGGGAGTATGGCCAGATTCTTTATTTATAATTTGAGGAGCAGTTGAAATTTAAAAAATGTTAATTGCACAAAAATTGTGGTTGAACTAATGTCTTTCTTAAAAGCTACTACATTAACAAAAACAAAAAAAAAACTAAAAAAGAAAAAGAAACCTGATATAAAAATCTATTTGGAGCCACTTAATTTTTAAAATGGTTGCTATTTAAAATTTTGTAAACATTATTAGAGTTAATTAACAGACAACATATAAAATTGCTTTAAAATAATATGGTAAAGCCAGTTGGAGCAACATAATTTTATGAGTTAACTTAAAAACTTGCCTTTAGTCTAACAGTTAATAAGTAAGGGGTAATTAAAATAATCTTTGACTGAAGAGGAAAAGCCAATTCCCCCAACGCAATCTAGTTTGTTGGTTCAATGTAATTTCAAATGAAATTGTCATAACTCAAAAAGACTAATGCAAAATGTTGCGTAAAATTTTTTGTGTTGTCTAAACATTTCTTTTTAGAGTTTACCTTAGCTCTTAGTTGAACTTAAATGGTTATTTTAAAACAGAAAGAGAATACTCTGAGTTCTTTCAGATTAGATCTGATCAAGTGACTGCCAATATTCTGTTCACCATTTTATACAAAGTGATCTTAAAAGGCAAAACTGAACATATACAAGAACACTCCAAGTGGACATATTCCCTTCTGGTTCACATAGTTTTTCTTCAGTCTTCTATAGCATAAATACCCAAATTTTTCAAGTGGTGAGTAGCATACTTAGTAGACAGGAGAGCAAGTATATAATCTAGGACAAAAATTGGGAACTAACCATGATGTGAACTGGGTAGAGATCGCTTACTGGCCAATGAAATTCCATTCAAAGTCTATGAGGTTCTTTAGAAGAGTGGACACACAGGGGTTGACTGTGACAGACTTCTTCTGAACAACTTTCCCTGTCCTCTTGTAGACTATCTTATCCCGACTGGCCTTGGTCCCTCTTTCTGGGCTGATTCCAATGAGTCACCTGAAAAGTTTAAGATTTAGTTTAAGATTAGAGGCTGAATAGAAAAAAGTCTGCTATTATGTGACGTAGGGCTCGGAGATATGATCAAAATATTTTTTTTGGAATACCATAATATTGATGTTGTGAAGATATTGTTGGGATGACTACTGGTGCTTTCATATTTACTTAATAGATTTCTGATGAACAATCAGAAGTAAATTGGATATGATGCCCAAGCAGCTAGAGACAAGTAAAGAGAACAACAAACCTTTTTCAGAGTAGCCATTTTGACATGAAATTGCAGGTAAACACAGGTATTACTACTGACATTAGTTGTGGATCTGTTCTATTTATGTGTAGCAATTTTTCCAGTGAGTCAGTATTATAATACCAGGACCCTGGCTCTGTTAGACATTAATGGGATTGAAGTTTAATTAATATCATCAGTAACACCTCTGTTTACCCTACAATTTCATGTCAAAATGACAGGCCTGTTGGACAACACAAACCTTACCTTTGAATAAATTCAAGTGTACAGGCAGCCTCCTCTTGGCACTGTAGATTAAAGATGTAGTACACTGAAAACAGAGCAGCAAGCCCCGTCACAAATGTTGGTTGGATGCCCCCACATAGGACCTTCCCTCAAGGCTGATCATCCAGCAGTCACATGCTCTGTTCCACCTGAAACATGAAATAGTCATTTTAGAGAGCATCTTAACTTGTATATCTTTACAAGAAGGAATGTGCATGCTTTGCTGGGATATAAATAAATGTAAAAGCTCATCTGATTTAACATAAACATATCATTTCAATGAATACATACTAAGCAGTCTTAGACGAGGAGTTGGTGGTAGCGTGAGGGTCCTCTCGACATCAGCTACTGTCAGACAACTATAGGGAAAAGACTGTAGAATTGTAGTGATAATGTTCATGATATGAATTTAAGATGGCAACAATTCAAGGCTATAAAAGGCTGACTTGGAAAGTATAATGGTGGCTACAGAGACATTGTTGACTCACTTGGCTCAGGGAGGTTTTAAGGTTTCCAGGGACAAATTGCAGATAGGGAGACCCACAGTTGCTTTTCTAGGACGCATGGTGTCAGCATCGGGCTTACACATAACTGAGACTCAAAAGACAGACATTCTCTGTCATTCTAAGCCCACCACAGTCAGAGAAATGATGAAATTTTTGGGACTGATTAATTACAGTAAGAATTTTGT